TGAACTCAGTGACATATTTTATGGATATTTCATGTTATATTCAAAACTGTACAATGAACCCAAACAGTGAACTCAGTAACTGCAGGAAGTATGTGTACAACGAGTGAATTTCCGGTTTAGAGAACTTTTTATACAATTCTCTGTCTGTATTATGTATTTTTAACAGACTTAATCTTGCCAAATTCAGTGTTTTCCTGTCCCTGATGCTTTATATTATTATTATTATTACTATTATTATTATTATTATTATTATATCTATTAGACAATTTCTTCAACAATTTACATTCACTTTTCTTCACAGAAGTTGAACATATAGGCCTCCTGTGTATATTTTTAAAGTTTTTTTTACACGCCTTAAAAATCAAGAAGGCCTCATGACCCCCCATGAAGCACCTAGGTTGGAGAGCACTGGTATAGAGCGGCGCCCTGGTGGCTCGCCTTGTGGAGCGTGCGCCCCACGTGTGGAGGCTTGGTCCTTGCTGCATGCCATCCCCAATCTCTCTCTCTCTCCCCACTTTCCTGCCTTTCTCCAGCTGCTATCTAATAAAGTCTATAAAAAGCCCCAAAAATAGGCTTTAAAAAAGAAGAAGATGGATTTCAGATCTCGTAGAAGTCAAGCACCAACTTAAATCTTGGATTTATTTGTCCCATGTGAGTCAAACAGATGCTTCATACCCTGTTCTGGCTTTCTGCCTTTGGAACAGATCTCCAAAGTTTGCTAAAACTAATTTCACCCACAGTTCTCATTTATTTCATCTCTTACATTATTAAATGTAATTTTCTACCATTCTTGGGTCCCTTTATGATGCTGGTCGTCTTGTTCCAGGCTTTCTTTGTAATGACTCATTCTTCCTAACCATGTTTGTAACCCTGGAGCATTTATTACAAGCAGCGTATGAATAAAATTTCATCTGATTGCCATGAACTTTCAGTGAAGGCCTGAAGCTTTTCTGACATGGTGAACAGTGAGGGGCCCGAGCCCACACTGTCATAGTGAGAGAACAACACATCTGTCAAAATACTGATAGAGCCTTTCAGAGGAAAACAACAGTCTGACAGCTGTTGCCTCTGGTGTGGCTGAAGAGGAAAATGTTATCAAGCTACGCACTGGTGGACATTTTGATTCCACAAAAATAAAGCCTCGATCAAGATACTGAAAGGGCAGGTTAATGTCATTGTGAGCTGTTGTTGAATAGCGCCGCAATGTACACAATTACATCAAGTGCAATCAGACTGGCTAAGGCTGTTGAATGTGTTTAAGTTTGATGGTAAAATTGATTGGTTTGATTGGTCATTCTCCCAAAAGAGTCTCCTGGCACATTATCAAAAAGATCTGTTTGTTCTTTTTTGTGCAGTTTGATGTCCTGACACCTTACTGATGATTAATTCACATTGAATTTCAATTTAATACACTTACTGTGTAACTCAAAAGAAACTCACAGTGGTTTGTTTTGATCTTTTGTACTTTTTGTATGAAGTACTGATCAGAGCTCTCTTTTTCATAAATTAAATGGGACGTTCCCTGTCAGCACTCTTTTTAACGTAACCTTAACTGGTATCATAGGTAACACCTTTTATTTACCCTTTTATTTCATGTAAAAATGGCTGCTGTGAAAAAGGTCTACTTACTACATCTTTCCTCTAACTGTAACATTAATTTGGCCACAGCACAGGCTAAAATACAACTAAACTTTTCCAGGACAACATAGATTATATCCAGGCGTTTTTATCAGTTTGTAGGTGTTTCCATGACTGGAAAACTAGTCTTTCAATGTCCAGATTTTCCACTTTTTCCAGGACACGTTGGAACCCTGACTGTGTGGATCTGAATGTAACTCATGTTGGAAACATTGATGAAGCAACAATATAACTATATAACTATATAACATGTCAGACGCTGTGACAAATACATATTCATTAAAAATTTCGAGGATAACACAAACACAAAAAAAACCTCCACTGAGGTCGTCTCCAGGAAGACGATGATAATACAAGAGGACTAAGACACTCTGAACCAACACAGAGGCTACATTAAAATACATCTGAGTGTGGCCACTTCTTTAGTGTTCACCGAGCGCACATACCTACAAGTAGGGCTGCACGATACGGTAAAAAGAATCATTATTCTGACAGAGTTTGTTATATCGATCATTTAATGGGAATCATCACTTTTGAGTCACAATTTTAAAGGACCGGTGTGTGGGATCGCGTCTGTATTTGAAGACTTAGGAATGAGAACGGGCTGTGTGGAGGAGAAACTATGGTGGCTGTGAAAAAAAACAAACAAGCACAGCCAGTGTTTGGTTTGTCCGTTCTGAGCTACTGTAGAAACATGGCGGTTCAACATGACAGTCTCCATGGAAGGCGACCTGCAGCGTCTGTAAATAATAACGTTTCATTTTAAGTTAACGAAAACTATTCTTATATTAAGGTGATTGTATACTAATGAAAACATATCTATTAAAATGACATTTGTTGGGGTCTGCACCAAGCAAACATGTTTTCTTACATTTGTAGACCAGAGCATCTCTGGAGAACTACAGACAATAATAGTAACTTCATTATAACGCTGTTTGTCTCACCTTTTACCTTCATCAAATTGAATTGATGCATCTATGTTGTATTTTGTTTAGGTCAATTACAATTGAGCCAGAGCTTGTAAATTAAAGCCACTTGGACTCTTGAAAATAGTTTGCTTCTTGAATTTTATTTTTAATTTGATTTTGAATCTGATCACAGTTCTTCTCACTTCTCTTCTGAACTATTGTTTCAGTAAAATCGCTACATAAACTCAATAATATATCACTGGAAACAGAAACAGACAGCTTTCCTTTTAGCTTATTCATAACTCACTGTTGTAACAAGTGTGCTGTGGTTGTAACAACTGTGGACAAAGCAGGTGGAAATATCGCTTTTCTTCCTTGTACTTGAGTTGTCATCAACCTCTTTGCTTTCTCTCTGTGTGTGTGTGTGTGTGTGTGTGGAGCTGAGCCCTGCCCTCTGGCCAACCATAAATGAAAACAAAATGTGGTGAGAAGTCTCAGAATCAAATTTTTCATCTTTTCATTCGGCCAAAGTGCTGTGAAAAAACTCTCAGTATCTTGTGTATAAAAAATGTTTTGTTGGTGCCCTCCAACAGTGGTTCCCAATCTGGGGGTCGGCAAAGCTTCATGGAGGGTTAGGGTTAAAAGTTCAAAAACTCACACAGTAGGCCTATATGTCAGTATTTGGTTCATTTATGTGAAGAAATGTAAATGCAAGTAAAGTAAGTTGTCTAGCAGAACAATAGCCAAGTGACAGGGACAAGAAAACTGTTCAAAATGATAAAAGAAATACATAATACAGATGGTGAATTGTGTAAAAAGTTCTCTAAACAGGAAATAATTTACTCAAAATTCCTCCAAATCACTCGTTTTACACATACTTCTTGCAGTTACTGAGTTCGTGGTTAGGGTTCATTGTACAGTTTTGAATATAATACGTTCATAAAATATGTCACCTAGTCAGTTTAATAAATGACAGAAAAGGGGTCCCTTAAGGTAAAAGCTTGGGAACCACAGACAGCTCATGATGTGCGCTGACAAAGCTTTCCAAAAACACCCAACAGACGACTCAGATTCAGTTAGAGAGTTCTGTTTCTGAAGGTCACCACAGTCGGCTGAATGTTTGGGTGTGAGAGACTAAGAAAGTCTAAAAAAAACCTTTAAGAAGGAGTTTCTTCAGTTAAACGCACTCCTTCGCTCTGCTCTCCACCTAACACACACACACACACACACACACACACACAATGCAGCACTTGTCCACCGTTCTGTGCCGAGCACTGAGGCCCACTGTCTTTACCTCAGTCCAGTTTTAGGATGGAGGGGAGGAGTTGGCACCGACTTTAACTCAAACTAAAATTCACTGTACTGTACATGGGAATATTCTGCTTAGGTCACCAACTGACTGACATGACTAAGGCCATGTTCACTAAAGAAAATGCTGATGTAAAAGTGATTCTTATGTGTTCAAGGTTCAGGTTTACCATCTATAACAACAGAAACAACAGAAAAATGCCTGTATCTCCTCCGGTGGGTCATTCTGTCGTACTCCTTTCTCATAAACAGAGCTTATAATAATCAGACCTCCCTTAACAACTGCACATCATCTCCCAGAAGCTAGTCCACACTAAATGTGAGAATGAGAGTTTTCTGCTAAAACAACTCAGCTCTTCCCATTTTATTTCCCCTCTGAGCTGAACTCGCCTCGGCTGTTGACAGAATCGCTGTCAGATTTCAAACTTGGCGAGTTTTGGGCCCGCTTGGCCAGACTGAACCAACCAAATATAACAAATCTGAAAAAACCTTGTTGGGCTCCAACAAGTCTGGAGTTATCGGTGGGCTCCAGACTTCTAAGCTGTTCGCACAACAGGATAATTGACTGAGAGTTGGAGAGGGCCAATCAGCCTCAAGATCAGCGTTAAGATCAACTACAGTGATCCAACCTGAACGTGACTCACTCACTGATGTGACTTTTGGACACTGTGGAGTTTTATTTTGGCTTTGAACATAACACAGAAGTTCTGGTTGAGTCAGATCCAACTGCTGGCCTTTACAGAAGCTTTTATGACTGAGGCCGAGGGGAGATGGAAGCAAGAGTCCTTTCTTAAGGCTCGAATACACTCCTGAACGGAAACGTTTAGCCGATACGCTCTTGCTTTTGTTTATCATTCTTGTCTTCCGTCCCTGGCAACAAAATGAAGAAATCAAATACACAAAACAGCATTAAAATCAAACAGCGGCACGGCAGCCAGGAACCAAAGTGGATTAATCCTCAACAGCTGAGATAATTCAGTTGAGACGACGAGGACGCAGGCTGCTCTCTGCAGTGGCGTGTCTCAGACTTATTGTCTGACCTCACTACCAGACGGTCAACAGAAACCTGGACAATATGATAATCATGTATAGAGGGATATTAATAACTACATTATTCTATGATATCACATCCTGATTAAAAGACAGGATGAGCTTTGTAACCAGCGTACATGTTCTTGTATTGTGGTTTCATAATCCGGAGCTATTAAAAACTGTGTGTTACCTCCCAAGGCGTGCTCTGTCATACTCAGACACAGAGACTCAAGGCGATTGTTGATGTCTGGCTCTGTCACCGGTAGCTGAAGATCTGTAACGAGAAACAAAAACAAAATTTTAATCGGTGAGTCAGCATCGCCGATTCAATTATATTCATATTAAAGAGATGATGTGAATAAAATGCCCTCATAATGGTCAAAGCAAGTTCAACAAGTAAACAAAAAGCTACATTTAATCAAATTACAAATGATTTAATACAGTTGATCTTCTGTATAGTCAAACTTTATCAGTGTTCACTAGTTCCTGCTGAGGAGCTACATTAAATCAATTACTTCACACATTAAGAGTGAGAGGCCTAATTACACAGAATCATGATAATCCTTAAAGTTTCCCCCTTTTTACATAAATCAGCATCAGACGAACTGGCAAAGGACAAAAGAAATTCACATCAGTCCACAGAGACAATGCCGTCCACTCAACCAGAGTGTAGCCTCAATAATCAGATTAAACCACACTCCAACTCCAGCACTCACACACACACGCTACATCCAAACAATGTGTGTGTGTCTGGAATCTGGTGACAAAATATGACAATGAAACTGACATCAAGAGTTTGATATTGATCGCATTAATCTATAGAGCAGTGATATACCGGCATCATTACATTACATTACTTTTATCTCAGCACTTGGCTCACTTCTGTGAAGTAAAGTAAATTGTCTAATAGAACAATGACCAAACATCAAGGACAAGAAAACACTGAATCAGTCAAAAAATAAGCCTATTAAGTCTGTCTGATTGTTAAAAATGATAATACATACATACATAATACAGACAGAGAATTGTATAAAAAGTTCCCTAAACAGGAAATAATCTGCTCAAAATTCATCCAATTCACTGGTTTTACACAAACTTCTTACAGTTACTGAGTTCATTATTTCCACTAACTATACAGTTAGTATAAATATAATATGGGGGATGGGTCAGGTACTCAGGTCATGTGACTTAATGCAAACATTCAAACCTGCTAACCTGAACAAAACCACTGGCCATGAGGTAAAAGTTGTTATTTTTTCAGGTTTTAATATAATTTGATTGTTTCTTAAGGTTGAATTTATATGTTTTGTTAAAAAATAATGAATCGCATTTTAACAGCTTTGATAATCAGGGATTAAATGTCTGTTAATAGTCAAACACAGATATATGCGTGATTTGAAGCCTACACTACACTTAAGGTGTGAAATATTGATTACTATTTATTTTACTCTTAAATATGTATTATTGATAGATTCACCAGTGTTCACATGATCTCTCTTTCTCTCTCTCTCTCTCATACACAGAAGTTTGGGTAAAATTACAAATTACATACAGGTACATATAAGGCATTCAGAACATATGTGAATAATAATTGTTGTCACTTTTTTAAACTTTTTATACAAAATATGAAAGAGAAGCTAATTAATTGTTTAGAAAATGTTTTAAAAGATTTAAAAATATGAAAAAATTTTACATTTACACCCTAAATGTTCACTGTATCTCAGGAGATCCAGTTTTTAAATTGGAAAATAGAGGTCATATTTTGAAAAAAGTCATGACATTGTGTTATTTTAGAGAACATGAGAAAAAAGCTATTTAATTAATTTCACAGTACATTTATACATTAAATTAAACTTAAACACCCAAGTTAAAACAGTAACTCTCAGGTGCTCGTTGCTGTCTTGACCTCAACTGCAAGCAGGGTGGAGACTGTTTAGCAGAGGGTTGGGTTGAGGCTGGAGGGGGGAGGAGAGGGGGGAGTATGTGTGTGTTAGGGGGTGTATTTGGGCCACATTACAGCCTAGCAACCCCTTCCAGCCATTTAGTCCTCAGCTGAGTCTTAAACACAGGCTGGGCAGTGAAAATCCCTTGTGGCCAGAGAGAAAAGCTGAGTTAGGCCCAGTAGTCCACACTGGGCTATTTATAGGCTCCAAATCCCACCTCCCTCTCTCCCCCGCCAACGCTGCCCCACACACCCCTCCGCCCCCTGTACACACAGACTTACAGCGACACAAACACTGTACACACACACTTTTTCCTTCATCCTGTCTTTTTCTCTGCTGTGTCTCACTTAATAACTCTCTTTATCCATCTGCTGGCAGAGAGAAAGACAGAGACAGAGGAGGGTAAGAGGGTGGTGGTGGTGGTGGGGGGGTGAGAGAGGGTCCTTTCAAATCAGTTACTCTGGCCGGGACCCAGCTATACCCACCCTTGAGGGTGACTGCTATGCGTGCATGACTCTGCAGAGTTGTCAAAAAAGGAGAGATGGACGGATGCAAAGAAAGAGGTCGAGAGAGGGAGAGAGAGATGGGAAAGTTAAGAGAGAGAGAGAGAGCGAGAGAGGGAAGGAAAGTGGGCCAGGGTGCCCTGTCCCCGCTGCACAAAGAGCCTCATTGTGAGACTCCTCTGACTCTTTCCTCCCTCCCTGCCTCTATCTCTTCCTCTCTCACATACAGTCCACACTCTCCCTCCCTCCCGCTTGCTTTTTTTAAATCTGTTTTTCCTCTTCATTCTAAAAAGAGGACATTTCTGGTGTGTGTGTGTGTGTGTGTGTGTGTGTGACAGAGAGCGGAGGAAGTCCCAGCTCGTCCTATTACCGTCCCCTGTTCCTGTGGGACAAAGTCCAGTCAGCAGAGGCTACTAAAGGTCGCTCTGCCTGGCGCCGATGGTTACCATGACCCAGGCCTGTGTGGACACGGTGAGTGGGGGGGGGGATCGGAAATGATCTTTCACAATTAAAAAATGCCTGTGAAATTTAATCTAATCTTGCATTCAAACCAGAGCCAATGACTGGGCAATTATTTCCACTGTGTTCTGGGAGAGACAATACACCGTTCTTGTGCTAAACAGGTTTTTCATCTCGGTAACAACGAGAAAGTGAATAAAAAGTCAATGTTCTGAGCTTCATATGAAGTTGGGTGTCAAAATAAATGAACCTAGATCGAACAGAAACACTAACAGAGTGGTGTGTGTGTGTGTCTATGCATTGTAAATATTGTATACATGTAATTTTAACAATGAAAGTAATATGTGATAGTTTATATTTTTAGGTGCAAACCGGCAGAATGAGCACCAAAATGCGTCAGCACCCAGGGCAAACATAGCACCATCATGTCCGAACCAGCGCTTGAACTGGACCAAAACCTAAATCAGCACAAACATAACCCCTAAACACAACATAATCTCAATTATCTTGGCAGTATTTATTTTTATGAGGACATTTTCAGTGCTGTTTTCTTAGAATTAAGCTAGCTACGCGTTTACACAGAGACATAGTTACACAGGCATGTAGGAGTACCTCACCAGCACTGCTGTAGGCTACACAGGGTTTCAGAAAAACCAAGGTCCAAAAACAGGACTTGCTAGGGGGGGTTTGGGGCATCAGAGAAGTTATTTTTAGACAATTATTTCACAACATTTGAAAGATTGTATACCCCAGTATCGCCAATGGGGGGTATGGCCATGCTCACCAGAGGTGGCAGTAAGGGTACTCGTGTGGACAAAAATCTCAAGTGCTGGTACTTGTTACTGGTAAGTACTGGCCCATTTCAGCCACTGGTTAGAAATACAGCAACCGGACACAAACAATCAGTGTGTGGTTACAGCATACGTCTGCACAGGCAGTCAGGAAAGTCAGACGCTGGCTGTTTAAAGTTCAATTCATGAAAGCAGTATGACCAA